TCTTATGACTTTTTCAGTTACTCCTCCTCTAGCTCAGTTTAAGTATTCACCTCGTTTTTGAGATAGCTGTTCGTGACAGCAAAGAAATGCATAAAACCAACCTTTTGCAGGACGGTTGTTAGTAAATTGTGTTTTTATATTGTTGAAATTCAAGTATTTTTGCACAGTATCTAATAGCTGTACTAAAAACATGGCAAATCCCATTCTGGTGCATGTTAGTAACCACTCGACTAATTCATTTTTAATGTGTTCACCTAGAACCGATTCATAACTGCAGTGTTGTATCTTCAGAGAAGTTTTTCCAGATATTTTATCACGAAGCGTCTGATAAGGAATTCCAAACGTCTTGCTTGCTTTGCACACAACTATACCTTTTTTAACAGCATTAATAGCATCTCTTAATTGGCTATCTGTATATTGAAGTCTTCGTTTTGAGCTACAAACTATTGTCTTATATTTTTGTTTTACTATTGTAAAAGAATCTAAGTGAAATAATATTTATTTTTATAGTAAAAAAGAAACAAATTGATTATTCATTGGACATACAATATGTATAGAATGACATTTTTTTTAGTTTATACTTATCGTATATTCAAAAATACTATATTAATCCTATAATGATGAGTGGTTTTAATAATATTAATAATGATCCATGTTTTATTTACCTTATTAAATCAATTTAGAAATAAAACTTTATGTTATCTTCTTAAATTACCTTGTTTTATTTGAAACGCTTCTAACAGCTGGTACTTAAAAAAAAAGTATTTTCATAGGCTGACATAATAAACCCTTTGAGTTCATATAAGTAACTATGTATTGCGGTTTCTATGTATTGTAATAGAAGTGCATGACGATGTTGTTGATAAACAAAATATTAAAAAAAATATAATAATTACTACTTATTGCAAAATTTATGTTAGAATTTAAAACCTACGATAAGTGTCGACTCTATGTGTGGAAACAACCCTACTCCTATACAAATTATCTTGTGTATTTTTATCCATATTTTAAAATCATTTTGGCTATATTAAACTACATAGGGATTTTACTATGTATACTATGAAGTATATGAAGAGCTTCTAATAGGGCAAAAAAAACTGTTTTATTATTACTTGTTTTTTTGTTTCTTTTTTTTTATCATTGAAAAACAGTGCCAAGAAAAAACTAGCAAAAATAATATACATATATATATATATATATATATATATATATATATATATATATATATATATATATATATATATATATATATATATATATACATATATATACATATATATATATACATATATATATATATATGTGTGTATATATATATACACACATACATATATATATATATATATATATACATTTATATATATATGTATATATATATATACATATATATATATATATATATATATATATATATATATATATATATATATATATATATATATATATATATATATATATATATATATATATATATATATATGTATATATATATGTATATATATATATATATATGTATATATATATATATATATATATATATATATATTTATATATATATATATATATATATATATATATATGTATATATATATGTATATATATATGTATATATATATATATGTATATATATATATACATATATACATATATATATACATATATATATATATACATATATATATATATATATATATATATATATATATATATATATATATACATATATATATATATATATATATATATATATATATATATATAAACTTTTAATTAAGCTACATTTTAATGTCATCTAAAAGTTAAAACAATTAAAATAATGCGGAAGTACATTAAGTTTTGTTGTTTTTAAAAAAGCCAAAATAATAACGACTAGAAAGTTTTTTTAATTAATAGTGATTTGGTTTTTTTATTGTTTTATATTTTTTTTAAAACATGCGTGGAGTGTTGTTACATCTAGAATCTATCATTTAAAAAAAAACAGCTCTATTTTAGTTTTTAAACTTTATCTGGTCCAGTTTATTAGCGTTCTCTTTAAAACTATATATATATATATATATATATATATATATATATATATATATATATATATATATATATATATATATATATATATATATATATATATATATATAAATATATATATATACATATATATATATATATATATATATATATATATATATATATATATATATATATATATATATATATATATATATATATATATATATATATATATATATATATATATATATATATATATATATATATAGTATATATATATATATATACAAGGTGGCCACTCAAATTTTAAAATGAAATTCCATGACTTTTTCATGATTTTTCCATGACTCTTCATAAACTTTTATGATAACCACTAATCAGTAAATTATTCAGTACTTGCCATGCACTAAGCATTTGGTAGAAAGTTCTGAAATTATGTCTGAAAAAAACATTTTTCTTTTACTTCTCTGATAATCTATAACTTACACTGCAAAAAGATCTTTTTAAAAAAGGACTTAGACGAGATCTTTGAGTACTTTTCTTTGCATCCTAAAAATATCACAAGCAGAAAAAAATAAAGATCATTTTTAAAAGTTCCATGAATTTTCCATGACTTTAAATGAAAATTTAGGAATTCCATGACTTTTTCCATGACCAAATATAATTCCATGACATTTCCATGACCAGTGGCAACCCTGTATATATATATATATATATATATATATATATATATATATATATATATATATATATATATATATATATATATATATATATATATATATATATATATATATATATATATATATATATATATTTATGTATATATATATATATATTTATATATATAAATGTATATATATATATACATTAATATATTTACATATATATATATATATATACATATATATATATATATATATATATATATATATATATACATATATATATATATATATATATATATATATATATATATATATATATATATATATATATATATATATATATATATATATATATATATATATATATATATATATATATATATATATATATATATATATATATATATATATATACTACTGTGATCAAAAAGTAAGGTGAATTTTTTTATAAAATGAAAAATCTTTATTTATTCTTCCAAATCTGTATCGTCCCCCTCAAAATAATAATAACCATGATAATGCGAAGGCGCATTATCATGGTGCAAAATCCAAGAGTTATTGGCCCATAATTCCGGTCTCTTTTTGCAAATAGCTTCACGCAAACGTCGCATAACGCTTAAATAATATTCCTTGTTGACAGTTTGGCCAGTTGGAAGGAATTCGTAGTGCACGACACCACAATAATCAAAGAAAACAGTCAACATGACCTTGATTTTTGAGCGACTTTGACGTGGTTGCTTCGGTCTCGGCTCGCCTTTTTCACGGTATTCACTCGATTGGTCGGTTGTTTTAGGGTCGTATGCGTAGACCCAAGTCTCATCGCCAGTAATAATTTGTTTGTAGACGTTTTGATAGTCAGAAAGCATTGCTTCACACGCTTTAACGCGATGCTCTTTTTCAAAAAAATTGAGAAATTTCGGCACCAAACGTGATCTAAGTCTTCTGAGGCCCAAATGATCCTTCAAAATCGCTTGCACCGACCCAAATGATATTCCAACCATGTCAACAAGGTCTCGAATGGTTAACCGACGATTTGCAAGCACCAATTCTTTGATTTTGTTGATGTGGCGATCATCAATCGAAGTCGATGGTCGTCCGGAGCGTTCCAAGTCATCAACACGTTCTCGGCCTTCTTTGAAGTCTTCGTACCACTTGTAAACACTTTTTTGAGACATAGTCTCTTCACCGAAGACCTTTTGCAACATTCGATACGTTTGAGCAGCAGAAATATCATTCCGCAAACAAAATTTAACAGCACTTCTTTGCTCAACAAAATTAGACATCGTGAAAATCGCCGAATGCACTTTTGGTACTTCAGAAACAAGCGTAAACAAAAAAAAAAATTATGAGTTTGACATGTAATTTGGCGCAAATGTTAATGACATTCCTACCAACTTAAAAATAAAAAAGATTGGACGATTCGAATAAGGCGGGAAGTTTAAATTAAAAATTCACCTTACTTTTTGATCACAGTAGTATATATATATATATAATATATATATATATATATATATATATATATATATATATATATATATATATATATATATATGCTATTATATAAAACATATATATGTCTGTGTGTTTGTTGGTATTTCCATTTTACCAGGTAAACTCAAAAACTATGTTATATAAAAAAAAGTAAAAAATAAACTTTGTTTATAATCAATCTGAAAATGATCTCAGCAAAAAAAATGATTTAATAAAGATTTAATATCATTTTAGTGAAAAAAAAAAAAAAAAACATTTTTAAATACTTAAAAAAAAAAACGCCTTAGCAATTTATTTGACATCAAATTAACGTGAACAACTTTTGAATTGATATTGCCAAAATCAGAAAACTTAATTTATCTAAAATTATTATTTTTTAATCAAATTATTTTTTTTTGCTTTTGCATCACTAATATTAGCGTAATATATTTTATTTAAATTTGTTTAACGCATATTGTATTATTATATTTTATAAGTAAGTATGCATCGGGCTACATGCTTAGGTAGAAGCTATGTAGTAATTACTTTTATATATATATATATGTATACATATATACATATATATATATATATATATATATATATATATATATATATATATATATATATATATATATATATATATATATATATATATATATATATATATATATATATATATATATATATTAGCCTGAAGCCGAAGTCAAAAAGATTGAGGTTGGTAAATTATTCCCGACCTCATTTTTCTTAATTCCGAGGGTTGTGTATATATATATATATATATCTTTTATTCATAATATATCTTTTAATCATAATATTTAAAAGTAGAAACAGTTGTAAATAATTAAAAAAAACCTGAGCAAATGTATGTGCTGCAATTTTCTCTATTGTTTCCTTTTCCTTTTTCATCACTTCAAGCTGTTGTCTAATTCTTCTTTCTTTTTCTTCTCTGTGTCTTTTTTCTTGCTCTTCTAATCGCTGTGTTTCAATTAACTCTGCAAATCTAAGCTCTTCAAATCTGCGTTGTTGTGCTCTTAGATTATCAAGTTCTTCTTCTTCCATAACTTCCATCAAAGACTGTTCAACCGTCTTACCAATTAACACCTCAAGGATAGGTTTGACTTCAATGTTAAAATCAAACAGCTAAAACCAATAAAAACTTATTATTCTTTCATAAACTTAACACTGCATTTAAAGTTTGAAAATCTGCTTACTTAAAATTCTATTTTAAGCAACTTACTTCTCCATCGAGAATTTGTGTGGATACATCTACTCCAGATTTTGCAGGAATAAAAAGAGGAGTTGATGGTCTATCTAAAAATGTATCAGTTTGTGTAAAAATATCAGCTTCTTCAACTCTGTCAGTTAATTCTTCTAAATATAATTCTGTTTGTACATCGATATGTTTCCGACCTTCCACAGGTTCAGGAGTTTGTGATTTTAATATCTGTTTCGCTCTCTTCCTAGCTAGAGCAAGTCGTCTTATTTCTTGTTGCTTTTGAGCTTCAACAGGATCTGGTTGAACATTCTATTAAAAATAAAAATTACAAAATGCATAACATACACCTGTCTACATAACTTATACTTACAAAAATTACATAATGAATATACTTTTATAAAAATGTGCACGGTTTATTTTAAATTACCGTGTACTACTTATTTGTTAACTCAAAACTACACAGACATTAAAACTTTTGTATAATTAAAAGTTGTGAACAATAAAGAAGAAATATAAAACTCATTAATCAAAATTTGCAAATAATAAATTCCAATAACAAGCATTGTTTAGCAAAATTTATCTAAGCTTATTTAACTAATTAGAGTTAAACTAACTTATAATAAATTTATTATTATATATATATATATATATATATATATATATATATATATATATATATATATATATATATATATATATATATACTTAAATATAGAAAAAACAACTTTTCATATAACTTAAAGTTTCATGCCTATCGGCAATCATCAGCCATGAAGTACAAAATCAAAAATATAAAAAACCGTTTAAAAATTACAATCTACAGTAGAATGAGTTCTGACGTCTTAGTACAAGAACACGTAATGGAAAACTAATCTCCGCTATCAAATAATGAAAGAAGAAATTTATTTTTATGTCTACATTTCGAAACTACTTCGCCTCTTTTATTTAGCAGATTATCTCCTTTGTAAAATAATATTTCAAATTTCTCATTTAAACAAAGCTTACAAATTTTTGATGCAGGATTGTATGATTTACAGCGTTTAATTATATTCCATTTGATTGAAGATGTAAAATTGTTATCTTTTAAATCCCATACTTCCTTAGATAACTCTGTGTCGTTCTTGTACTTTTTTATGTTGAAGGATTTTAGATGGTTTGCATAACGTAGTTTAAAAGAGGTTTCGCTTATCCCAATGTATACCTTATCTTTGTATTGAGGTTTATTTGAGCTTACGGTGGCTTGGTAAACGATGTTGTTAGACAAGAAATTGTTGTTCAGTGAACAAAGAGATTTTTTAATGCAATTGCAGGCTTTTTCTGATAACTTTACATCACCATATAAAATATTTTTGTTGTGTGAGTTGATAATAGATTTAATGTTTGGCATGCAGGAGTAGCTTATTTTAATTGTGTTTCTGTTAAATATTTTGTGTAGGTTGTGGTCTTTAGGAAAATGCTTGTCAATTAGGGTTAAAAAGTGTTGACCAATTTTGGTTGTAACATTTTTACTAAATGGAGGGTTGTACCAGATTATACTTCGTTTGTGGTGATTTTTTGGAACATTTGTTATGCTTGGTTTATATGCCAACTTATAATCATATCCCGATTGCTTTAGTGTGTCTTCATAAAGATGTGTCGACTTATTAAAAATAACTTCACTTGATGAGTTGGCGGACAATCTTAGCTCGATAGTTTTTGGAAGATTGTTTATTATGTTAGGTGGATGGTTAGAATCAGCATGGCATGTACATAACTTAGCTTATTATCAGGCTTGCAGTATGGTTGGAATGAATTTTGAGTAAGATTAAAAGTTAAATCAAGGTAGTTAACAATTTTAAGATTACAATTGATAGAGATGTTGAGATTGTTACGTTTAAAAACTTGAACGACATGTTTTTTTATTTGTTCCATTTGATGACCATTTTTGTTCTTGAAAACAGCTAACCCGTCATCCCGATATAGACCGAAATCATTTTTGTTGTAAAACTGCAAAAGTTGATCTAAAATTAAAATCCCGACTAGTTCACAAACTTCCGCGCCATCCTAGGCTCCCATGGTAACATCAAACAATCCTGCTTTTTTCTTAATCCATGATATGCCACCGTTAAAAATGAAAGATTTTCTTGCATGACGTATAATGGATTTGCTTTGCTCGTCTATTATTATATGTTGTTCGGCAAAAGTAATAGCGTTATTAAGTATTTTTTCATCAATTGACGGATAAAAATCATTTATGTCAAATACTAAAAATTTACAAAGGTGTTTATCATCAATTTTTTGGAACCAATTTATTACATTCTGCGTATTTTGCCATTGGTTTAAACAGAGCCTGGTTCTTAATTCCGAGTTGATATTGGATAAAATAAGCTTTGACAGTCTTCCTACCTCATTCTTTGCAGGATTTAAAAGACGCACAATAGGGTTGTTTAGGAAGTTGGCTTTATGGTCTTTTAAAGTTATAAAACAATCAGCAGTTCCGTTTATCTCGATTCTATTAAAAATATCATGATTTTTTAAAATTTGCTTACTTTCTTTATTTACTACGTTCATTAGTTTTGGATCGGCCTTTTTATAAATAGAAGTGATTGCGTTTTTTAGAAGGTGGTTGTAATCATCTTTAGATATTTTGTACATGTTGGAAGTTTTGTCAGCTGGAGTTAAAGTTTTATTAGAATTACGTAAAGATTTAATGTCATTATTTACTTTTTCTTGAAATGTGTTGTTGAGATTGCGAAATTTGATAGTTTTAACGAGATTTATTATATCTTTTTCAAATAGTGACATTTCTTTAATTTGTGGAGGGCACTTTGAAGATTTTACTCCATAGTTAGTAAAATCATTGAACTTAGACGTATCACCGAGTTGTTTGTTAATAAAAAATAGCGCTTTCCATCTCATTCTTTTTATAAGAGCTTCAGTTTTCTCGAGTAACTGCAGTATAAATTCTTTTTCAGATGGTATGGGTATATTTTTGATTGAGTAATTAAAGTTTATTTTTTCCCTCTTTGACAATTTTGAGTAGAGTGCTTAACTGAAAGGAGCGTTTATATTGTTTATGTATGATTTAGTATAAAATATTATGGAGCGTTTATGTATGATTTAGTATAAAAAATACTAAACTCTTAATCGTTGTAGAGTGCTCAATATTTAATAAATATTTAGTTTTTCAAAAACAGAGCGTTTTATACTTAAATATAGAAAAAACAACTTTTAATGGAACTTAAAGTTTCATGCCTATCGGCAATCATCAGCCATGAAGTACAAAATCAAAATTATAAAAAACCGTTTAAAAATTACAAACTACAGTAGAATGAGTTCTGACGTCTTAGTACAAGAACAAGTAATGGAAAACTAATCTCTGCTATCATATAATGAAAGAAAAAATTTATTTTTATTCCTAAAGACCACAACCTACACAAAATATTTAACAGAAACACAATTAAAATAAGCTACTCCTGCATGCCAAACATTAAATCTATTATCAACTCACACAACAAAAATATTTTATATGGTGATGTAAAGTTATCAGAAAAAGCCTGCAATTGCATTAAAAAATCTCTTTGTTCACTGAACAACAATTTCTTGTCTAACAACATCGTTTACCAAGCCACCGTAAGCTCAAATAAACCTCAATACAAAGATAAGATATACATTGGGATAAGCAAAACCTCTTTTAAACTACGTTATGCAAATCATCTAAAATCCTTCAACATAAAAAAGTACAAGAACGACACTGAGTTATCTAAGGAAGTATGGGATTTAAAAGATAACAATTTTACATCTTCAATCAAATGGAATATAATTAAACGCTGTAAATCATACAATCCTGCATCAAAAGTTTGTTAGCTTTGTTTAAATGAGAAATTTGAAATATTATTTTACAAAGGAGATAATCTGCTAAATAAAAGAGGCGAAGTAGTTTTGAAATGTAGACATAAAAATAAATTTCTTCTTTCATTATTTGATAGCGGAGATTAGTTTTCCGTTACGTGTTCTTGTACTAAGACGTCAGAACTCATTCTACTGTAGTTTGTAATTTTTAAACGGTTTTTTATATTTTTGATTTTGTACTTCATATCTGATGATTGCCGATAGGCATGAAACTTCACGTTATATTAAAAGTTGTTTTTTCTATATTTAAGTATAAAACGCTCTGTTTTTGAAAAACTAAATATTTCTTAAATATTGAGCACTTTACAACATATATATATATATATATATATATATATATATATATATATATATATATATATATATATATATATATATATATATATATATATATATATATATATATAATAAATTTAGGGTGCTCTTAAAAGAATATTAAATTAAACTCTATATTATTTATGTTATTGTGCCATTATTTAACAAAAACTTCTAATTTTATTAAATGACAATCAAGATTTTCATATGTACCCAGAGCTCATTTATCATCTTTGAAAAATTTGCTGGAAATTTCAAACGTTTAAACATTTAAATTTCTCAACAGATACATTTTAATCTATAATCAAGCTTTAATAATTATTGCAAAAACTCCTAATGCAAAGTAGTGTTAGAAAATTCAATTTTTTTTTAACATCTCTCTACCAAATTTTATTATTATTATTTTTTTTTTAACATCTTCGCTTCCAACAAGGCTGCAAGCAACCACTAATTAGTGTTGGAAGTTACTGGAAGAGAATAGATGAAGATTGTAGAGCAAGATAATGATTAACAGACAACTTAAAAGATTGCAAATTATATGAATCAGGAAAGCAAGAGGAAGGAAGCGAATTCCAAAAAACTAATGTTCGAGGAAAAAAACTAGACAAATAAGAGTTTTTGGAGCACTTAGGAACAGTAACAGAAAAAGGATGAGACTTAATTGAATGACGAGTAACACGAGAATGAATTTTAGTAGATGGCACAAGAGACGCTAGCTCTTTAGAACAGTGCCCATTATAGTATTTGTAGAAAAGAGAAAGAGAAGCAACATTACGATGATGTGACAGAGGTTGAAGGTTGGCTGCAAGAGCAGGTCCAATTATGTTTACAATGCGTTTTTGCACCTTGTCTAAAAGAGAAAGGGCATCATTAGAAGATCCACCCCAGATATGGCAACAGTATTCCATACAAGGCCGGATTTCAGATTTATAGAAATAGAGAATAGAATCCAGAGTAAGAAAGTGACGAGCTCGATAAAGAGAAGTGACTTTAGCAGATGCTAATTTTGCAACGGATTTGATATAAGGTTTCCAAGAAAGATAAGAAGTAAGAGTTAATCCTAGAAGATGAAGGGTAGGAGATTCATCAAGTACATTCCAGTT